TATTCTAAACAACAGTGTTGGAAGATGTCAGAGATTTTACATTAATAAATAAAGTTAAACATTTTAATGTTACAGCACTGACAGGCAGCAGCAGTGTAGAGTTTAGCTCCCTGTTGCTGCTAGCTAGCTTACTTTACAATTGGAGGCTGTTTCCTTACACAGTTACAGAATGGTAAATTGATAAAGATGGATAACGTTACCACAACTAACACGCAAATACTGTTTTTATTAACGTTAATATAGCTAGTAAACCTTTAAACGTTACAGCACTGACAGCCCGTGTTGTATATTTTAGCTACTGTGGCTAAAGTTGCTGCAATGATGGATAACGTTACCACAGCTAACAAACACATAAACAATGTTTTTATTAACCTTACCTTGCGCTATATCTTGTAATATAACCTCTGTAAATAAAGGTTGAAGGAATGAAATTCAGCAGCACGGTGGCGCAACTGGTAGAGCTGTTGCCTCTCAGCGAACAGGTCCTAGGTTCAAACCCCGGTCCAGGGGTCTTTCTGGGTGGAGTTTGTATGTTCTCTCCGTGCATGCGTGGAATTTCTCCGGGTGCTCCGGTTTCCTCCCACAGACCAAAAACATGCATGTTAGGCTGATTGGTAACTCTAAATTGTCCCTAGGTGTGAGTGAGAGAGTGAATGTTTGTTTGCTCGTTTGTCTTTATGTGACCCTGTGTAGTATGACATATACTGGATATATTCATACATTTCACGGGTTCTTCATTTTTCTGACTGTGTAACATGCGTGCATTGAGTTTAACAGAAATGTAACGAGAGACGTTATTTATCTTTGACCCATCAAAATGAATGCGGTCATTTATTTACAGAATCAAAGTTTAACATCAAACATTTACATTAATTTGGCAAAATATGAAAACAATAACATGGCTAGTTTCACAGGAAGTGGGAACAATACGGAGATTGTTGTCACTTTTCAGCAGAACAGCAGACATCAATCACACGGCGGTGATTGAGAAACTTTGCTTCAGACATTTCTAAAATATCTGTAATGATTTTAGGAGAAAGGAGAGTTTAAGATGGAAAATGGAGATTTATCTTACAGAGAGATGTGTGAGGGAATTTATCTGTGGTACCAGAACAACACGCTCTTTGGAGAATAAGCTTGGCCCACGGTACGCTTGGTCGAAATAGAACCTTTACCTGGCAGATGATAATCAGCGTCGGTGTAGAGTTCCCTTCTGACTCTTTCAGCGTCTCCGTGAGGACAGCCAAACCCTTAGGAGTCGTGTGAGGTTATCCAAACAGAAGTTATAATCCCCAAGATCGTCTCTGGATTCTGGATTCCAATAGAAGCATCCTGGACGCCTGCGTTAGCATCCAAGAACTCTGAACTCTTTAACTCTCTTCAGAGAGTTAAAGTCTGGAACTCTTCTCCAGGAAAAACTTTCAAGCTCTGAAAAACTCTACTGTTGAACTGGAAAGTCGCCACATTTAAATGGGTTCGACTTCCGGGTCATTTGAGAGCTTTTTGATTGGTCGATGGACCAGAACAGAGGTGTGGTTTGTGATGTAAGGTGTTATGGAAAGTCAAGGATTGTTTAAAACAGACAGAAAGATTATTGGAGAAAACCAGTCTCAGTGGCGTCTCTTCTCCTAGTATCTGCTGTAAAAGTTAAACATGACATTTCTTTTCAGTAAACTTTTTAGTTGACCGAAGCTCGAACTTTAACACACTTACAGACTTGCTCATTGAAGACAGAAAAATCAAGAAATGCATATTACCCTGATTTCTTCTTTGAATGAGGAATAAAAATCATTACTTACTGTTTATGTAAATAAAAATGAGTAGTTCTCTTCAACCTGTAAACATTGTTTGAACTAACACAATTTGATTATTAAAACATTTGTAAAATAGTAATGATCATAGAGAATTGTCATTTCTACTTGATTAATTCAAGAAAGAAAGTCTCAGGATGGGTCAAACTGTATTTCTGGATGCAGATCAATGAAATGACAGTTTCTGTCCATCTGGTCAGTTTTGACATAGGCCTAGTCCACTACACCTGTGATGGACTTGCGACCCGTCCAGGGTGTACCCCGCCCCTCGCACAGTGATTGCTGGACATGGGCACCGGCGACCCCCGTGACCCAAAATGGAATAAGCGGGTAAAAATAATGGATGGATGGATGGATGCGTCAGTAGTCCTATTTTTCCCTTTTATGAAATATTAAAACTATATCCATTGATAACCACAAATGACATGTTGAGGGGCGGGGTACACCCTGGACGGGTCGCAAGTCAATCAAAGGGCCACATAGAGACAAACAACCATTCACTCTCTCACTCACACCTAGGGACAATTTAGAGTTACCAATCAGCCTAACATGCATGTTTTTGGTCTGTGGGAGGAAACCGGAGCACCTAGAGAAAACCCACACATGCACGGAGAGAACATGCAAACTCCACCCAGAAAGGCCCCTGGACCGGG